ATTGGCAGGAATAAGAAGACCTTGTTTCTAAAGAAGTTAGTTAATATGAAATGCTGATTGTGGTGTCTCAGTTTCAGTACTGTTGACATTTTGGGCTGGATTATTCTTTGCTAAGGCATAAGGCTGTTCTGTGCCTTGTAAGATGTCCTTGTCTTTATCCAATAGCTGCTAGCAGCATCCTCTCAGTTGTGACAACTAGAAATGTCCTCCAGATACTGCCAGATATTCCCTGGTGGTGGTGGTAGGTAATTACCCTTGGTTGAAAACCACTGTGCTAAATAAATGTTTCCCTGTGCCTCTCCTCAGTGCTTAGAATCAGCTGGGGATTTGTGTCATGTTTACATTTAAATTTGCATTTAACTCTGTCTAGTCCACTGTTAAGCATTTGACTAGTTAATCAAATGTGTATATTATTATAATTTAAAAAAAATGATATTTTAGATAAAATGTTGCTAAGGAAACCTGGAGAAAAGATAAACCAAACTTTCTTAGTGAAAAGAAATTCTACATACATAATGTTAATTCCTGAAATACATGATCAATACCAGGGAAATAAAAGGGTTTAAGGCTTGTTACTTTTGTGACGTGAAGTGATTTTCTTGAATGTAGGTGTTACAGTGGCTGTTGTTTAAGTGACCTTTTTCTGTTATTATTTTTGTGGTACTGGCATTAGGACTCTAGACTTTGCACTTGCTAGGAAGGTGCTGAACCACTTGAGCCCGCTGCTATCCAAGTGACTAGTTTGAAAGTTCAACCAATGGAGGAGATACTGAGAAGTAAAATATTCCTTAGCCATGCTGTATTATACCCTTCTACAAACACAGTTACATAAAATTGTCTTCACTGCTTATAATTTAAAGATCAGTAAGATTTTTAAAAAAATTGTTATTGGAAGGGTATTTTAACTTCACATTAGAATATAGCATGGACTAGTAAATATAAAATTCTTTCTTTCTTTCTTTCTTTTTCTTTTTGTAGATACCGAGGCTTAACCTCAGGTCCTTGCACTTGCTAAGTAGGTCCTCAACACTTGAACCATACCTCTAGATGTTTTATCTCAGTTTTTTTGTTTGTTTGTTTGTTTGTTTTTGTAAGACAAGATCTTACTTTTTGCCAGGCTAACCCACCATAGCTTGAGTGACAGGCACACACCACCACACCCAGAATTTTTTTCTACTGAGATTGGGTCTTGTGAACTTTTTGTGTATGGGGTGGCCTACAAATATGATCCTCCCAAACTCAGCCTCCCAAATAGGTGGGGTGGCAGGCATGGCCCACTGCATTCAGCTTTTGAACTCTCAAACTCTTTTTCAAATTGACTTCAAATTGCAATCCTTCTGATCTCAGACTCCCAAGTAGTAAGATTATAGGCATGAGCCACTAGCACCCAGCTTATTCTTGTTTTTAATGTATATACAAATCAGAATATTTTATTGACACCTTCAGCATGCAAATAAACTGTTTCATCAATTTGAATAGCCATGGAAAGCCTTCAGTATCATTAACCAATTAAAGTACAAGTCCTCAATTATGTCAGACTGTTGGCATTGCATTTTGATGCACTTGTTACCAGTTGTGTGACCTTTTGTATGTTACTTCATTTTTTTCTTGCTCAGATGTTCATCATCTATAAAATGGAGCTAATAGTAATCACTTGCCTAGAAAGATTATTGATATTGGTCTTTTGTCTTCTAGTGTAATCATTTTCCACACCATTTGTTTTCATATTCATCTTCCTCAGTAGACTGTGGATCCATAGGGGAGTGCATTTGTATCTTCTTCACTTTTGCAGTGTACATAGTAGGTGTAGTTAATGCTCAGTTAAACCAGTCACAATAGCCATCTAGCTTGGGTCCACTCCATTGCTAGTTTATTCAGAAGATGTAAAGGTTTATACTCTATAATTCACGGAGCTATGTTTTTACACTTCTTGGAAACTTGCCTGCTGCTTGGCTCCAGGGGGCTAAGATCCTTCAGAGAACCAGGCAAGCAGGACCGGGTTGTGTAGGTTGCATTATTTTCTGCTCTGTGTATGTTTTATGAATTGGAAAGTGACAGGGTATAAAATATCAAGACTGGGAATCCCACGAGGATCCCCAGGGTTTATGGACATTAGGCACATTGTCAGAGATCTGTGCTCATCCCTTTCCTGTTCACTCCATCTAGTCTAATAGCATATTTGCCCTTTAGAAATGTAATTATGTAGAGACTAATTAGTGGGCTATTGCAGTTACTCAGGTGACAGAGAAGATAAAAAGGGCTCTGACAGAGACATAAAGAAGAACCTTCAGGGACAGAGTGATGAACCTTAGAAAATAAGCATCAGTGAACTTTGGAGACTTTACAAAGCATATAATTGTAAAAATAAGTGAAAAATCAGGAGTGATAATCAGGTTTCTGGTTTTAGCCACTGAAATGAATAATGGTGTTGATTACTAAGGAGATTTTTCCATCCAGATTGTTTAGTTTATTTGACTATTTGCAGCTTTATTTTTGAGTGGGAGACACTGTTTTCAATTTTTGGATTAAGTTGACTTTAAAATTCCAGTGAACCCCTAAATTGATGTGACTTAATCAGCTGTTGAAAACAGAACTGAATGTCAGGAGAAGATATTATTTCAGGATTGAAAGCAGGCAGCAAGTACCTGAGCCACATTCATGCATGATGTTATACAGAGACTATTTATCCAGCAAAGAGACAAAGAAAATCCCGTGAAACACCAATTGCCTTTAAAGGTGTGAGTGAAGAGGCATGTTCCTCTTCATACTGAACAGGGTGGTGTCAAGAATGGAAAAGAGCTGGGAGAAACTGGTTTCCCAAAGCCAAGGGAAAACAGAGCTCAGGAAGGAAGATGTGGTCAACAGTCTCAGTCCTGCAGCTGAGTGGGCAGGTCACATAAATGCACTTTTTGGAGGATTTGATAATTAACAGAAATTTAATATGATATTTCAGGGAAAATTCTGGGAATGATGCTTAAACTGGATTTAGGAGTAAATGAGATTTGAGGCATTGGTTATATGCCCTCAGACCACTCTGAAAGGAAGTCTGACTTAGAAGGGAAGAACAATTACAATCAGTAGTTAGAGGTAGCTGCAGAGATGAGTTAACATTGTAGGGGTGTTTTCTTCCCCTTCATGCTAAGAGGTATGTGACCTGTTTTCTAGTTTGAAAGGAAAGGAAGCTATAATGGGGAAAGATCCTAAAGCTTCTGGGCAAATAGGGACCCACTGAAGGATTTTTATTTCTTGAGAAGCTAGAAAAGGTAGAATGAAATATCTGAATGGTGTTCTTCTGCTGATGCTATAGCCTTGTCTCAAAGGACAAGCACCTTTTTCTCTGAATTTTAAAGGAAACCCATAGAGACAAGGTTATGGATATGAGCTTAGTTAACTGAAATATATTATGTCATCAATTATGTTACAGAGTATATCTCATTTTCACAAAATTTTTTCTCTTTATCAGTTTTACCCCCTTTCAGAGACAACTGACTATTTTTATAAATACAAGAATACTGCAGGGTGATTTGTTCTTTCTTATTTTGGGCACATAATAGCCTAGCACATCCATTTCATGATTAAATTAATTGTTGCTCAAATTTTTTATAGAAAGGTACATTCATGTATCTATGAAAATGTTCACAATGTGTTTAGGATTTCTATGATCTATTCAAATGACATTTTAGCAGATTTAGAAATAATGAGGTTAATACATGCTGATGACAAAATGAACATTCTTTAATTTCAAAATGATTTTCTTCAAATTTTTTTTCAAACTGTCCATTAAATAATAAGCTTGATTATTTTAAAATGTTTGTATTATTCGGTTTGCAGTCACCCTAACAAAATATCTGAGGCTGCATGATGTGCAAAGATAAGAGGTTTATTTAGCTCACAATTCTGGGGATTCATAGTCCAAACTGTGGCATTGGCTTGAGCTGGTATCCCTCTCGCTCTGGGCTCCACCTTAAAGGTATCATCCCCCTCTAGCATTGCCATGCTGAAGACCTAGTTTCTAACACATGAACCTTGGGGAATACACTCAAGCCATTTCCAACCATAGCAATAGTCATCAAAATTATGTTCTCATCAGTAGTCTTTTCTTTTTTCAGACTTCTGTTTCACTACCTTTTAGAAGGCCCCAACAGCTGCCACGCTGAATCTGCAGGTCCATGTGTCTGTCACATACTGATTACAAGAGATTGGGATTAGACCAAAAGCCCTCTGTGAGAGGTTTTTAACTTAGTCTAGTGCCCTGACATCTTACTTTGATAGAAGTGATTACAGTTAATTTTCATTTAGATCATGAGGGTGAGGATAGGTGGGATAATACATGTGGCTACTATTTAAGGAAGTTAGTAGGGAGGGCGGTAGGATCTAAGTGCTTTAGAGAAGAATGTGTTTCATAACAGTGAACTGAAATTCAAGCTTATTTGACTAAATCCAAATAACATGGAAATAGCAGTCTGAATGGCCTTCAGTTCTCTTCTTTGTTCCTTTATGGCACCTGATTAAATTCTAACTCTCTCTTTGTTGTTGACCCAGACTGCCTTTTGCCTTTTGGGGAGTCATGGACAAATATTTCCCGAGCAACAGCTAGTGAATGAGGCATCTCATGTTTCCTTGTATATTTCGCTTCCTTAGACAGGTTTCCTATTAAAGTGATGAAAAAAACATGCCTGCATCTAGAAGAAATCCAGGTGGTTAACAATTCTAGTGGGTGGGGAAAAGACAATGAGAAAGGGGAAAGTTCAATGATCCTGGGGGGCTGTTTGAAAACACTTCTTAATATTTTCTAATGGAACATAAATGCAATTGATACCTATCTAGTATTTTCTCTCCTGAGGAATCATTTCCTTGCATTTGAATTTATTTTTATAGTACCAGTTCAGCATTTTTATTGCACTGTAATGATTTTTATTTTTGGAGTATAAAATAAAGATTTGTGGTTTTATATATAATAATGGGAGTCCCATCGCTGAAGTTCTGTTTTCTTTACACAGAGGGTTACTTCTACAGGAGAACAGCAGGTTTGCAGAAGCACTGCATTATTATAAGTTGGCCATTGGGAGCAGGCCTACCCTTGCTTGTAAGTAATATTCAAGTTTTGGAGTTTTCTAAGTACTTCTCTCCATTTTTGAAAATTATCATTGTGACTTACAGCCTCACAGAAAAAATATGTGATGTTCCAATATCTGAATATTTATTACTTCAGTGATGACTTCTTAATTATATTTCTCTCAATTTCACATTTCGATTTCATTTCCAATTAAAGATTTTTCCTTTTTACAATAGCTATAACTTTTACTTGTCTAGATTTTTAGGCTCAAAAATATATGGAGTTCTGTGAAGGCAGAGAATATTTCATAATTTTTTAGTGATATTTGCAGGTCCTGCTATCATTGTTGATTGCATAAGGATTTGTTCCATAAATATTTATTTCTTGTTTTACTTTTTAAATGAGGAATAATCCTTAGAAAGTAAAGTGAAACAAAGATATATCTGTCTACAGTGTTTATCATCTGCTCAGAATTGTGTTTCTATGTTTCCTCCCTCAGCTGCATATTTAAACACAGGCATTATTCTAATGAACCAAGGAAAGACAGAAGAAGCCCGGCGTACTTTCCTAAAATGTTCTGAGATTCCAGATGAAAACCTGAAGGACCCTCATGCACACAAGAGCTCTGTTACCAGCTGTCTGTACAACTTGGGGAAACTCTATCATGAGCAAGGACACTATGAGGTCTGCCTACATCTTCTCATCCTTGTCCTTCTTCCTCATTCTGACCCACTGTCACTGTTTTCTGACCTACAGCCTCCTTGCAGGGTCACTACTGTCTTTTGAGAAACTAATATGTGTTCACATTAAAAGGGTTTTGTGGTCAAATTTATTTGGAAAAAACTTCTAAAAATAAAATCTCTTTCCTGTGAGTTTCTCAGAGCAGTTGTATTACAGCGTGTGAATACATATTGTGACTATTCAAAAAAAAGGAGTTACGTGTATTGCTTCTCAAGCTTATTTGCTCACCATTTCTTTCATTTTATGAGCCAAGGCACAGTTTCTAGAATTGTTACTCTGGATCTGGTTTGATATATTAAAATTTGTACATTATTTATACTCTGAGTGTTAAGAACATTATTTGGTATATTTCCTATTTCTCTAAATTCTTTTTAAAGCTATAATGAAATAAAAATTATATATATATATATATAGTCACACACATGTGGTGTGGGGAATTAATATGTCAGGACATTGTCCACTAAGTTGCATCCACTAAGGACCCAGCCATGTCCTCCCTTGCTCAAGGGAAGCATGTGATCCTTCTTGCCTCTCTCTTCCCTTCAGACTTCTCTCTACCCTCACCCCCCACCCATACCCATGTGCTCTTACACAGTGGGTTAATATTGCACTGCAAAATAAGAATGAAGATAGAACTTATAATGTCTAATAATTTCAATGAGTCTTAGCAGTTGGAAGATTTATTTATTCACTGGGTTGATTGAGTGAAAGTAACTATAGTCTTTAGATGATGAGTGAGTAACTTCCAAGTATGAATTTTTTAAGAACATTGCTAATATTCAACTCATGTTAACTAAATTTTTATATGGCATTCTTCACTGGGCTTAGTTAGCTTTCATTCGTGAAATTAAGGAAGTATGCTATCAAAGAACAGCTCAATTATTTTCCCCTAGTGAACCATTTAGAAATAGCAATGGATCATTTAAAGTCTGGAAGAATTAGTTATTATCTTATTTTCAGTGAATATCCCTGCACTTTAATGATGATTAATCTTTTTTCTGTTGCTGTTCTTTCTTCAACTAGGAAGCCCTGGGTGTATATAAGGAAGCAATTCAGAAAATGCCAAGGCAGTTTGCCCCACAGAGCTTGTATAACATGATGGGTAAGTAAACTCTTACTATTTTCTTTAATATTTCAGGGATCTGTGAAGAAATTAGAACCTGTGCGTTAGGAGTTCTAATTAATCATATTATTAGTACTCACAAATAAACCCGGTTTACAATTGGATATCACATTCAAATATGATGAAGTGTACTAGTTCAGACATGAGCAAATAAATGCACTAACACAGTAATCGCCACAAGACTGGCCACGTCTCAAAATTGTTACACAGAGGCCTCAAGAAACATTTGGGTACCAAGTATTAACCAGACTCTAAATAATGAATAAGTAATATCTTAAACATGTGTAATTCTTCAAACATGTTCAGGGATACATTAATACATATTCATTTCAGTGACTTTGTCAAATTCATGATAAATTTTGATTGTGTTATTTTCTCAATGAGAAGATTCTCATAATCCTGCAGTGATGTATAGATTCATTGAACTTTGATGCATATAGCAGATGACAACAACTGATTCGATTTGTGTTGTTTTCACTGATCAGGGTTTAAATCTCAATAGTTTTTTGCAGAGTAATATTTTAAAGTAAAATGAGACTCTAAAGATGGTAAATATGCCCCTAAATGTTCTCCTTTTCTATGTTGAATAATTAACTTAATTCTCTTACCAGAAAGTGTGTAAATTTAGGGGCAGGATTTTTCAGAACATAAGAAGTCAAGAACTACAAATTCTAATAAAATTCCTACCGTCTTGGTTTATTCCTGACTGCCTTATAGGAAATTACAAGCTAGTACCACAATTGTTTGAAGGTGGGTACAGCTGAGAGCCACAATTCAGCATATTACTCTTGGGAAAAACAATCTCTAAATTTTTAAGATGGCTCACCACAGGGTTTAGCATAACAGTTTCCATATATCACAAGGAAAGAAAGGTTTCTCTTGTCCTCAAACCAAATCATTTCTTATTTTTTTTTCCACGGCACAAATTGCAAACTCAGATCTTCCCTTTTCATTAAACCTGGTTAGGCCATTTAATATTTCTAGGCCTCCCTCATACATATAAAATAAATGAGATTATGACCTCCAGGATTGTATTGTGCTTCTAAGTCCTATGGTCTGAGAGGTTTGATAGTAGCTGTTTGGATTATGCATGCACAAAAATTCCCAGACTCTCTCAAAGTAGAAAACATGTACCTTCAAGGACACTCATATTCCTTCTTAATTTCCTGTGTGACAGATAATTTAGAAATAGTTCGGAAACAGAATAGAATGCAGTGTTTTTTTCAGCAAACAGAAAAAATTACCATTTGGAATTAGTTATTAAATCTAGTCCATGTCTCTGAGAGTGCAAGCCCCAGTTTGTCTGTTCAGCAATAGAATGATTTAATGCTCATATTACAGAAGACTCTGGAATATTTTTAGTTATTTTGTTTTTCTCTTTGGTATAATTATTATAAGGTAAAGTTGAGTTTCATTAAGTGTACTTTTGCCTTTAAATCTTTATGGATTAAATCAGTGCCTTTTATTGTCCAGCACTGTCCGCAGGAATAAAATGTACATGTGTGTGAGGCATGTGTCTAAAATGGGTAGATTTATTATTTGAAATAACCTTTCTGTTTTAACACTGGATGTTTCTCACATCAAAATAAATATGAAAGAGATTGATTTTTCTTGCTTTGTCTGAAGAAGGACAGTGGTTTTACTGTATGGTTTTATTAACTCTAGTACTTGAGAAGGTCTTCAGTTTTCTTCAACTATCAAGGAAGACTTTTTTTTCTTAAATTATTTAGTGCTCTGAGATCCTTGGCAACAGACTGCATGTGGTATCTTTACTGTTAATGGAAAGTGGTGATGTTCACCATAGTTAATGATTTCAGAAAATTCATTCAATTATTTTATGTAAATAAATTGGATAGAAAATTGTGCTGGTACCTTGGGATCCCACTCTCATATGGTTACACAAAGGCCCAACACACATAGGCAGCCCAAGATAAGTATGTCCTTGGGGGTTTGCTTAGGTCTTTGTCTTATTTTCCATGGTGGAAGAAGGAGGTTGCTTTGCCCAGACTCCGAAAAGCCTTCTAACAGGTTTCTGGAAGAGGATTCTAACATAATTTAAAATACCGGATTTCTTCTACAATTATGGTGGCTGCCTTCTGTTTAGTTTTATGGGAAGATCTGTCAGCCGATCAGGTTTTACAGCTTCGGTCGTTCAGGAAACTATAATTTTCTCAGAGAGTGGGTTCACCTCCTAATCAAATGGGTTAAATCCTGTGAGTGTTTGCTTTAACTCCTAATACATTTTGATTAGCCTCCATTTGACAAGAAAAAAAATGGTGTAGGAGATAAGCTGCCCTATCAGTTCCTCAGTTTCATTAGTCTGTCAGCATGTGCTGATTATCTTATCAAGTTTATCAACAGTCTCCAATGTGCTTTCTAATTTGCACATTTACATATTATAAGTGCCCTTTAGGGATCAGTGATGGATTATAACTTCTGGCTAGACACAGCCTACAAGTACTCATTTTTCTCTTGTCTCATTCACTTACCCCTTAGGACTTCTACCCCTAAGCAATTCTGTATACATATATATATATATATATATACTAAATATGTTTTCCTGTTCTATTTTTTATTTTCTTTGGCAACTGGGCGAAATGAAGGAATAAGTGTGAAAAATACAATTATATTTGAGTGTTATTATCAGTTTCACAAATTCACTATAATTCACTATAACTGAATTATATTCACTATAACTGAAAATTTAATACATGCTAGTCCTTTGCATTTTCCTTATCCTGAAACCCAAATGAGCATGTTTCCCGCATTTTTATGTACATTGCAAGTTAATCTGATTAATTTGTTTACCAACTTAAATTTACCATATTTTGTTCTCATAATATTATTTTAATTTTATGGTGGCAATTCACAAGTAAAAAAAATTATATTAAAGTATATTCTCATTATTCCCCAATTCCATAAGACCAGGGTGTTTCAGTAACTAATTGAGGAGTATCTTTCCTTCCAGAATACAGAAATAACACAAACCAGACACTAAATATCATTGTATAAACAAAATTAAACTTTTGCCTAGGTTCTTGTATTTAATAAGGTGTGAGAATACAAGAAATATTTAGAGACCATGTCACAAAATAAGTGTTAATATTGTGCCTAACCCCTTGTGTGATTTTAATTTTGTGTATCTTGGTTTCCTCTTGAGATAACTGGTTGTATTAAATGATAGTTCAGACCACAGTTCAGGGTAGTCTGAAGTCAGATAGCCTGGGTTCAAATTATGTCTCTGATACTTTCTAATTTTCTAGTTAGCTTGGGCAAACTACTTAACGGAAGCCTCAGTTTTCTGGTCCATAAGATAGCTATAATAGTACTGTAAGTCTGAGATTGATAAAATAATAATGAAGGTAAAGCATATTGGCCAAGTGTCTGTCCTGGTACATGTTTTATAATGTGAACTTCCATTGTAACCTTCATCACTTCTATGGGGCTTTAACCTTCAAAAGTGGATGATTATATACTTTGTCAGTTCTTATGTTTTTAGCAGTATAAATACAATTAGTCTACAGGTATTTGTCACTAGTGATGGCCTTGCAGTTACCAGAGTTCAATAGGGATTCTATTTAGTTCTGTATGGTGTGGTTGGTGTATGTTTTCTCTCCAGGCTCATTTCCCCATTCCTCTCAGTAACCACAATCAAAATGCTTCTTTTTTCATTATCTATATAAATAGATAAAAAATTGAATAGCACGCTTAATTAATGCCAGTTAATTTAATTCCATTTATAGAGTGCTCCCTATACATTAAGGTTGGCATGTTTAGGTTAGAGTTCCTTTCCTTCTTCTGTCATGATATACGCTTCTTTCTAGTCTTACTCAAAATTACTCTTTATTCCAACAGTCATTACAGACATATATTGTGTCTCAGTTTCGCCTTTTTTTTTTTTTGTCTCAAAATTTGGGTGTATTTTAGAATGATGGAGTACTAGAGGTTAAAGATTCATATCTTAAAAAACCTCATGATATAATCTCCTTTATTTTCAAAGATAAAAATTAACACCCCAAAACTGAGTTGACCCACTCAGAATTAAAGTTTGCATTGGAGCCAAAGGTATACTTTACTGACTTAAATTCCAGTGCATTTTCTATTTAGCCCTTTGGTGATACCAAACTGAAAGGTTTTATTGCTATATCAAAATAACTTTCTTTATACTTAATCACCAGCAAAAATCATATTAGAAAAAGCTCTCCTATTTAAAGAATAAAATATCTATGAAATTATAATTTTGTCACAAGTGCATTAAATATGTAGTACATAAAAATTGAATACAGGATAGTTTTTTAATACATTCAGTTTTTTTCCCCTTTTCCTCTACAATTGTTTATTTCTCTTATTACCTCTGTCTCAGCATTGCTTTTGAATAATCCTAAAGGATTATAAGAAACAAAATTAAACTGTAGCTTCCAATTATTTTTATCAGTTTAAGTCCTTCCAGTCCCAGAGGTCATTTTAAGCCTATTTACTGTTTAAAATAAAGTTACTCATTTTTGTCAATACAAAGTAATTGTTTGGTTTAATTATACAAGTGATTCAGGCCATTTCATCTTGGTAATAAATCTTGAGAACAAGTGGCATCATCTGTGACGTACAGTAAGAGAGAATTTAGGCTTTACTGCTGTGTCATATCACAGCCTACAGACACTACATAGTATAACTTTCTGGGAGCAAACATTTTTTGAAGTCACAAGTGCTGAGCTAGGGGTAGAGATATGGTGGTGGCATGAAATGTAAGTAGTCAATATGGCTCTTGCTCTCATGGAGCTTTCTGGGGGATTTCCAAAGCTCTCTATAGTGTCTATCCTTTATAAGTATGACTGTTAATAAACTGGAAAACTATAACACCACCCTTGAGAATATCTTATCTATTACTATGTGGGTGTGTTAAGCTAACTGGACCAAACAAAGCACCTAAGAACAACTCCGGCCTTATCATTTCTAACATGGTACTAGTATTGCAGCTGGCA